ATCTTATAAACAGGAAAGGTAAGAAAAACTTTTTTGCCACTTTTCTATATAAATCAATGGAAAAACATAAACCAGTAGTTAAAAGAGAGCATGTGCATGTTAAAAGTAGAGCAGGTCTACTTTCTTAGCAGCCTGGCTATGAGTGTTTCTAAACCGCTGCTTCAGAAAACTCTCAGCCATCATGCTGTAACTGGGTATTGTTTTTATTGTTGATGTTGACATGGAATTACAATGTCCCTTCCCTTTTCTCTCTCTAAGCCTTCCCATATTTCCCCACGCTCTCTTTCAAACTCAAGTCCTCTTTTTTCACTATTTGCTATTGCATGCATATAAGTATATTTATACACAAATATATCCTTAACTATAACATGTTCAATTTGGAAAAAAAAAAGATAATTTGCTGGGGATATAGCTCTGTGGTACAGTGCTTACTTAGCATGTATGCAACCAAGCTTTCTGGCTACTTTCTTGGGTTCTTATATCTAAAACTCTTCTCCTCCCCAATCCCTACCAACCTCAAAACGCTACGTAGACAAGAAAGGAGGTTAGAGGGAAAGGAGGCATAGACCTCTTTAGATTACATCCTGCTGATTAGGGGTGCTGAGTTCCTTGGGACAAGTCTCCTCTTCATAGTGGAAATATCTCTAGCAAGCCATCAGCAATCTAAGAACGATCTATCCAGCAATCCAGCAATGGCAAAAGCAGCAGCAGAAGCCAGCAGCAGCTGAGGCAGCAGCAGGGGGAGCAGCAGTCACTACAATCCCTCTGGGGCTTTCACATTTATAACGTCTCAAGAGTCCCCAGAATTCCAAAGTAAAATCTCTTCAGCTGGTAAAAATCATGCCCTTCTTAGAGCGGGAGAAAAATCGTAGTCAGGGGCTGTGGACAATCTAAAGCAGCCCCACACTTGGTATTAAAACAGAAACATATTCACAAAACATAACTGGATTTTAAAGAAACCAGAATCTCTTTACACATATACAAGGTATTAAGTTATAAACTAAGCATTGATATACATATCAATGCCCACATTGATATATATATATATCAATATATACTATATATATATACTATATATATACTATATATATATATCAATATATATACTGATATACATAATACATATATCAGTACTTCAATGTATTTATAATATGTGTGTGTGTGTGTGTGTGTAGTAGAAGTGGTAGTAAATGGAGTGGTAGTAAATGGAAAAGAGACTTCTAAACAACACAGAGATAACCACTTTGGAAAGCCATGACTACCTATGGGAATATAGGATAGCATTCAAATTGAAGGAGGGAATAACTTACAATAGCCATCCCTTTGCCCTCACCTCTTACTCTGACAAGACAGAAAGTCATATAGTTCAACCTCACTGGTGATGACACAGCTACCACTCACTCTATGGTCAAGAAATTTGTTGAGATGTCACATAGTTTGTGGTAACACACCAGGTTCAGTGCAAAATAAAACTTTCTTTTTTGTTGTTTTTTTGTCTTGTTTTGTTTTTAAAATTCATTTTTCTTAAATACAGTTTTTTTTCACTTTGTATCCCAGCTGTTGCCCCCTCCCTCATCCCTTCCATATTCCACCCTCTCTCCCTCATCTCCTCCCATATCCCTCTCCAAGTCCACTGATAGGGAAGTCTTCCTCCCCTTCCATCTGACCCTAGCCTATCGGGTCTCATCAGGAGTGGCTGCATTGTCTTCCTCTGTGGCCTGGTAAGGCTGCTCCCCCATTAGGGGGAGGTGATCAAAGTGCCAGCCACTGAGTTCATGTCAGAGACAGTCCCTGTTCATATTACTAGGGAACCCACTTGGACACTGAGTTGCCATGAGCTACATCTGTGCAGTGGTTCTTGATTATCTCCATTCATGGTCCTTGGTTGGAATATCAGTCTCAGAAAAGACACCTGTGCCCAGATTTTTTGGATCTCTTTGTGGAGATCCTATCTCCTTGCTCTCCTTGTGGAGGTCCTATCTCCTCCAGGTCATTCTATCTCCCCCTTCTTTCATAAGATTCCCTGCATCTTGCCCAAAGTTTGGATATGAGTCTCAGCATCTGCTTCTATGTCCTACTGAGTAGAGTCTTTCAGAGGCCTCTGCAGTAGGCTCCTATCCTGTTGCCTGTTTTCTCCCTCTTCCAGAGTCCTTCCTGTTTGCCTTTCTGAATGAGGATTGATCATCTTACCCAGGATCCTCCTTCTTGCTTAGCTTCTTTAGGTGTACAGATTTTAGTATGTTTATCCTACTTTATATGTCTCATATCCACTTAAAAGTGAGTATATACCATGTGTGTCTTTCTGCTTCTGAGATATCTCCCTCAGGATGATCTTTTCTAGTGTTCACCATTTGCCTGCAAATTTCATGATTTCCTTGTTTTTAATTGCTGAGTAGTTGGAAACTATACCCCTCACAATAGCCACTAATAACATAAAGTACCTTGGGGTGACTTTAACCAAGCAAGTAAAAGACCTGTTTGAAAAAAAACCTTCAAGTCTCTGAAGAAAGAAATTGAAGAAGATCTCAGAAGATGGAAAGATCTCCCATGCTCATGGATCCTTAGGATTAACACAGTGAAAATGGACATCCTGCCAAAAGCAATCTACAATTCAATGCAATTACCATCAAAATACCAACACAATTCTTTACAGTACTTGAAAGAACAATTCTCGAATTCATATGGAAAAACAAACAAACAGAAAAAAAGAGAACTGCCAAAATGATTCTGTACAATAACACATCATCTGGAGGTATCTCCACCATTGATCTCAAGCTGTACTACAGGGCCATAGTAATGAAAACTGCATGGTACTGGTATAGAAACAGAATGATGGATCAATGGAATTGAACAGAAGATCCAGAAATAAACCCACACACCTACAGATACTTGATTTTTTTACAAAGAAGCCAAGACCATACAATGGAAAAAGACAGCATCTTCAACAAATGGTGCTGGTCTAACTGGATGTCTACATGTAGAAAAAAATGCAAATAGATCCATATTTATCACCCTGCGCAAAACTAAAGTCCAGGTGGATCAAAAACCTCAACATAAAACCAGACACTTTTTCTGTTAGAAGAAAAAGTGGGGAAGAGCCTTGAACTCATTGGCACAGGGAACAACTTCCTGAACAGAAAAACCAAAAGAAAACTTTCAAGGAAGCCACTACTACTACTAAGAGAGGCTTAGTAGGGGTCTTAGCATTGTGGGCTCAAAACAGCTTACTGGATTCTTCACACCACTGGCTAGAAAGACAGCCATATAATGCATGATAGTGTAGAAGGAATCTCTTATGTATTGTATAGATGCAAGACAGGTCCATTAAAAAATATGGCTGAGGCAGGAAATAAGTGGAACTTCTGGCATTCAGAATGTATTCTGGGAGAGATTCAGTCAGCAAGGTGTGAGGAAGATGGACACACAGTGCCTGACCTCAGGTAGCTAGCCACTTGGCAGAATACAAATTAGTATAAAGGTTCATTTTAAGTTTTCAGGTAGTCAGAGAAGAGCCTAAGTAGTTGGCCTAGGTAGGTATTTGTATAATATTTAATGAGGCTCATAAGTCATTATTCCTAGAGCATAGGGCAGGAGGAAAAACTTACATCATAGAGCAAGCAGAAATGTATCTGAATCAATTTAACACTGTCCACTGACAAAGCCTAACATTGTGTCATTGATAAATGTCTTAGTTTGCCTTTTGTTGTTGGGATAGAGCATTCTGAAGAAAAGCAACTTGGTGAGGAAAGAGTTTATTTCATCTTATAGTCCACCCTTGAGGAAATGTAGGGCAGGAACCCAAGACAGGAAGCTCTAGGCAAGAACCAATGTCTAGGACACAGAAGATCACTGTTTCTTGTTTGCTCTGCACGGCTGGCTCAGTCTTCTTTCTTATTCCACCCAGCATCACCTGCCTGGGGTGCTACAAAACCCAGTGGCCTGGGCCCTCTCACTCTTCCACATCAATCATTAATAAAAAAATTAAATTAAATTAAATTAAATTTAAAGGCCCTCAGATTTGCTTATAGAGACTCTGACAAAAGTATTTTCTCAAATGCAGTTCCTCTTCCCAGAAAAATCTAACTTGTGTCAAGTTGACAAAAAAACAAAACAATAATGAAACAAAAACACTAACTAGAATGATAAGGGAGAAAGGTTTAGAGATTCTGATTCCATTATCAGGAAAAAAGACAAAACAGGGTGGACCAGGAGTGGAAGAACCTGAACGGACAGAGTTCCATGGCTCTTCTGGCTTGAGGAAGGTAAGAGTGAGCTTCTTAGGGAAAATGGCTGCTCCACTGTTTTCCTTTTCTCCCACAAAAGGAGCAGGCCTAAATTCATGCTCAAACTATACTGAATCCTGGTCTGACACATGGTAAGTTATATGGGTAGCAGGGATGAGCTCAATGCAGTGACTCAGGACAGGTATGACAACAAGGCCACAGGGGTCTGAATCAATGAAATTATTGTCACATTGGTTAGACACAAAATTTTGCAAAGATATAAAAAATTTAGCTCTGTAAAATCCAACTCTGTGTGCCTACCTGTAAAGAAGTAAATAATATAAACATAACAGAACACCTGGTATAGAATTAGAACTTTGAATATTAGCATATTCATTGGTGGTTATTTGTAACTGGTGTTAAACAATTGTAGATTCTGTTCACCATCAGTTTTCACTTAGAATGGTGCTTTATAATCCCCAGCCTAACTCTGCTTGAGACTGGGCTTTCAATGGCAATCTTGCTGGCTCCTGAGCATGCCTTAAGGCAATGGGCTTGATAACCCCACCAGCCATAGCCAAGTCAAGTTACCAGAGATCCATTTTCTCAAGTGGAAAAAGACACAAAGTTAATTGAATTCATCCTTTTAAAAGACCTTGCCTGAAGATCTTTGCTAAACTCTCCATGGGCGTTGAGGGAGATGAGTGAAGGAAAGGAGAAGGAAACTGCTATTCAAAGCCAACCACCCTGTGCTAGACAATACGTTACTTGCATTCCCTGATTTTCTCCTCACTGTATCATGCCTCATTACTATTGTTAACTGTATTTAAAAAGAAGCAAAAGAACAGGAGGCAGGTAGGGAACTGGGTGGGGGAGGGGTAAGGATCAGGTATGGGAAGAGGCAGGGTGAGAGGGCTAGGAGAGCGAAGTGAAATCCATGGAGGCATCTCTGGGATGAGCTGGAGACCTGGGAAGAGATGTGGGAAAGGCTCCTGGGAAGCCTATGGGGATGACCCTAGCTGAGACTCCTAGCCACTGCAGATATAGAGGCTAAAATGGCAACCTCCTGTAGCCAAGCAGGACTTCCACTTGAGGAAGGAGAAAAACAACCACACCCACAAAACCTTCAACCCAAAATTTGTCCCGCCTACCAGATGTGCAGGGATAAAAATGGAGCAGAGATTGATGTAATGGAAGTTTTGGTTTCTTTAAAAATTCAGTTATATTGTTTAATTTTAGTTAGGTCATGGAATAGTTTATTTTCTCCATCATTGTTGATTGAAAGTTTTGCTGGGTATAGTAGTCTGGGCTGGCATCTGTGGTCTCTTAGTGTCTGCATGATATCTGCCCAGGTGCTTCTGGCTTTCATAGTCTGTTGAGAAGGAGGTGATGAGGGAAGGAGATACAGCTGGAATACAAAGTGAATAAATTATAATTAATAATAATGATGATGATAATATAAAGAAAAAGAAAATTAAAAGCAAGGTTTTGAATTTTTGTTTAAAAATAAAAAACTCAGTTATGTTATATCAATGTTTTCTGTTTTAATCCCAAGTGGGAGATAGTTTGGGTTTTGGTTTGTCCACTGCTGATAATTGTCTCCTGCTCCTGCAGGGTGTGATCTTTGTCTGTTGGTAATGGCCTGCCTCATGCAGCATGAAGAGAGGCATTGTCTAGGGTCCAGAAAGAGATCATGTGGCAGTTTGGAGAGACACTTCCTGGCACAGCTGGAACAGGAGACTGGTCGCTGCATTTGCTTGTAGCGAATTGGTATAGCGCCCAAAGAACCCATTGACTCTAAACAGTCAGAAGTAAAGAGCTCTGTTCCCTCTCCTACCTAGGGTTGGAGGGTTGAAAGGGAGAAGCTTTAAGAACCCCAAATAGAGCTGAGTTTTTTGAAATGAGTGCAACAGATTGAGGGGATGGCCAATCAATGAGTGGCCCAAATTGAGACCCATCGCCTGGAAGAGAGCCAACTCCTGACACTATTAATGATACTCAGCTATGCTTGCAGAGAGGAGCCTAGCATAACTGTCTTCTGAGAGGTTTCATCCAGCAGCTGATGGAAACAGATGCATAGACCCACAGCCAAACTTTAGGCAGAGCCTCACAGAGACTGAACCACCAACCAAGAGCATGCATGGGCTGAACCTAGGCCTCCTACACATATGTAGCAAATGTGCAGCTTGGTTTCCATGTGGGCCCTCAAATGATTGGAGAGGGGGCTGTCTCTGACTCTGTTGCCATCCCTTTCTCCTAGCTGGGGCTGCCTTGTCTGGCCACAGTGAGAGAAGATGCAGCTAGTCCTACTAGGACTTGATGTGCCCCGGGGGGAGGGGGTGTTGGTTGGTACCCACGAGGGGCTCCCCTTCTCTGAGAAGAAGGGAAAAGGGGAGGAGGGGTTATGATCGGGATGTAAAGTGAATAAATGAAAAAGAAAAAACTCAGAATGAAAAGAAAGAGGAGGAGGAGGAGGAGAAGAAGAAAACGGAGAAAGGTGGAACCAGCTTGCTAAATACTGAACTCTTGAAAAGCCCCAGAGCCTGTATTCAAACCCCCTCTTTTCTGTTTGGGTCGGCTAAGCCTTTTAAACTGCGCTGCTTCCCACCCACACTCAATCCCAGACATCAAGGATCCTAACTGCTGATGATTCCCATGCTCTGATTTACAAAGATGAGTGGGTGAGTGCCTTTTTTTTTTTTTTTTTTTTTTTTTTTTTTTTTTGTCTGAAACGTATTTCAAAGTTAGGCAAATGAAATTTAAGCTACAGGAACTTTAAAAAAAAAAATCACTCAGTGTTTCACAGGAGAACTCAGCAGCCCTGCCCTCTGTGCCCTGCTTAGCTTTTCTCCTGGCTTCTGGCTGTAAATTTGGAGAAGGGGGACACTGAGCCGAGTTCGCGCCTCACCTTCTTGCCTTTCCTGCAGCAGGGGTTGTTTGTCTGATTACCTAAAGGCTTAGTCCCCAGGTTCAAACTTGACTCCTGTGCAGGTTAAGTTGTCCATTTCTATACCAAGGCTCTCACTCCAATTATCTCCTTAGCCCCTCCCCCCACCTCCTCTCCACTTTTCAGCTAGGGCAGGTGCAGTCTTTCCTGTCTCCACTCAACCAACGCCTCTTAAGTTTCTTTCCCAGGGGACGCATCAGCTTGGTCTGCGGATGCTATTTCACCTTCCTCCTGCAGCCAGGACGACCGGACGCCTTCCTCTAACTTTCCCTTGCCGGAAGGGTACTTCTGAGAACTTCGCGAGGACTGTGAGACTGTAAAAGTGAAGAGAGCCTAACTGGAGTCTCTCACCACCGGCTCTGGCTGCCAGGCCATCTGCAGTTTCACCCTAGGACTCCGAACTCTAGCGTCCCCCGTAGCGGGATGGAGCCCCAGAAGGCTGGCTGCGCCGCAGATGGGCCACCAGGCACCGGGCTCGCCAGCGGGTCTCCGAATTCCCGTTTCCTTCCGCGCTAGGGAGTGTGCAAGTCGGGGCGTCCTGCTGGCAAGCAGCCGGGCTCTCCGGGAAGCTGAAGACAGGTCCACCCTGGGATCAGGGCCCTCTTCGCCCGCCTGCCCACGCCGGGCCTCAGCTCCCCTCCTTCCCGGCTCCTGCCTCCTCCCGCAGGCTGCGGGGCGGCCCAGGGCCTGCCTCTCTCTCTCTCTCTCTCCGCCTTCACTACCGGGTCAAGCCGCGGAGGGAGGGAGGGAGGCGGCGGCGAAGCCCTCCCTGGCTCTCCACCCGGTGCGCGCGCCTCCTCCCCGTGCTCGCATCCCCTTCCCCGCCCGCTCGCATCCTGCCAGTACAGTACAACTAGTACACAGCCTCACAGGCGCACACGCGCACACACACGCGCTCCCCAGCGCTGCCACTGCAGCTGCCATGGATATCGGCTAACAACACAGAGGCCGGCGAGCGCGCGCGCGCTCCCACTCGCAGCACGCAGGAGTGGCCCCCGGCATCCCTACCCTCCTCCCCACCCCCACGCCACCCGCTCACCAGCTCGGCCACTGCTCGCGCTGGCTCGGCCGCCGCCACCGCCGCTAACGCCGCCAACGCCACCACAGCTTCCTCCGCTGCGGGGCCACAGCCTTGAGTGTCATTCAAGGGACAGCACAACCTCACCCAAGATCTCTTACCTCTGCCCAGCCGTCCCTCTCATCCTCCCCCTTCCTCTGCCACACTCCATCCAAAGAAGAGGGAAAGCGCGGAGCAGAGAGGGAGGAAGGCAAAGTCTGCTACCCTTGTCCCTTGGCCCCCTCGCTCCTCCATCCCGGTTTTGACTCCCAAGCCCTCCTCCCCAAAAGGACCCTCAGGAACTGAGGCGACTCACCCTACTGCCATGTCCAAAAGCTTGAAAAAGAAAAGCCACTGGACTAGCAAAGTCCACGAGAGTGTCATTGGCAGGAATCCGGAGGGCCAGCTGGGCTTTGAACTGAAGGGGGGCGCCGAAAACGGACAGTTCCCCTACCTGGGGGAGGTGAAGCCCGGCAAGGTGGCCTATGAAAGCGGCAGCAAGTTGGTGTCCGAAGAGCTGCTGCTGGAGGTGAACGAGACCCCCGTGGCGGGGCTCACCATCAGGGACGTTCTGGCCGTGATCAAACACTGCAAGGACCCCCTCCGGCTCAAGTGTGTCAAGCAAGGTGAGCGCAGCTTGCTCGGTGCTTTGCCTGGCGGTGGGACCCCCGCGTGGGGAGGGCAACCTAAGGGTGGGCGCGCGCGTGTTGGATGGGAGTAGCCTGCGCCACAGCGAGGTGGGGTCCAGAGAGCACTGTAACTACGAAGGGGACGTGAGTGGAACCGGAGCCGGGGGCTGCTTGGCGGGCTAAGCCAGGTGGCCCTGTGGCGAGCAACTTAAGTTTGCCTAGTTGGACCCTCCCCCTTTGGTAGGTGCTTGGCCTTGCCTGACCTCCCCTCGGCGCCAGGGCCAAATAGAATGTGCGTCAGTGGCGTCTCCACGGTGGACATAGAGCTTTCGGGGAAGGAAGGGGGGGGGGGGAGAAAGGAAGATGAAGCAACTGAGATGCAGGGGTGTCATGAGAGGAATTAGGAGAAGCTCTGAGCCCTGGGGCAAGTGCAGAATGCTTGGAGTTTATCCAAAGCTGGTCTGGAGACACCTTGGTCCCCAGCGATTCTTCAGGGAATCTCTGAGCCACTGGCTGGCGAGGAAGGAAAGGGACAAACTGGTTTGGATGCTTTGACCAGTGTTCACTAACTTTTCCCCTGCTTCACTCCTCAGTCTTTCTTCCCCCCTCCCCTCCCCTCCCCGCCCCTCCCCGCCACCCCCGCCCCGCGCCCATGGTCATGTCATGTGGGCACCTCGAGTCACGTGTAGACTGACTAACCCTAGAGATCGCCCCTAGCCAGCAGGCGGGAGGAGGCACAGAGCCTAAGAAGCTGGAAGCTGGGAGAGCTTTCTAGAGTTGGAGGAGAGGCAGATAGAAGGGATCTCCAAAGTATTATTCATTGACTGGGATTTCCTCATTGACTGGGATTTCCTCCGTGTTTGGACTCTCCTCTAGCTTCAGATCTGGGGGCGTGTTTGTGGCATGGAGGTGGATAGAGATGCAAGCTGGTTTCAGCTCAGGCTCTCTGTGTTCTAACCTGGCTTTGATGAGCCTCTTCTGGGCTGTGATTCGGATTTAGAGAGAATGGAATCCTGCTGAACTCTCCACTGTCTTTGCTTAAAAGAAAACTGTGCTCCCCCCCCCCCCCCGAGGGAGGAAAGATTGGGATAAAAGTTTAATTAGAGGACACTTTTAACAAAATGTAGTGTTCCTTTGTTTTCTACTCATGGTGATACAGGCTTCCTGGGCGGACTGGGTGGATAGATGTGTCTCACGCATATAAGCATTATTGTTATGGCCGTTTGTTGTCTGTTTTTACTTTGTCCTGCCCCAATGTTGAAATTCTGAGTATCACTGTATTCTGAATTGCCACACAAGCTGTGATCCATTATGAAGAAACGCCGTTGAGCAGTTGTTTCTTTAGCATAAAATTAAGCTGGAACGAAATGTTTCAAAGTAAACAAGAGAGAAAGAAGGTTCATAAACTTCTCTAAAGCCGTTTATAGAAGAAAACATCTTCAATGGAATTTCTTGAGTATCCATAATGTATCATTTTATACCATTTAATGTAAATATGCAGTATTGAATGATGTGGAGGAAGATGGGTTAAATTATTAGAGTACCCTGGTATTTTCCAATGAGACATACTTTGAACTCAAGTTCAGAGAGTTATGCTGACAAATTTTGTGTCATGATACTGCATAATAGCAATTGATACAAATGTGAAGTTCAAAGTTAGTGTCCAGAAATCTGCTATGATTAACCAGCGACTCTATTTAAAATGGTAAGGAACTGCAAAAGATACTGCTTTTTTAAACATTTGTTTTGTGTAGTCTATGTATGTATGTTTGCATGTGCCCACTTTTTCCTGATGGAAGTCATAGAACAGCCCGTGGGAGCCAGTTCTTCCCTATCACTCTGAGGGCCACAGAAATAGAAATTAGCCCTGTGGGTGAACCTTTAACTGAGATCAGTCTTAGCAGCCCAAGTCGACACATTTTCACAGGTGTTCTGTTGTGGTCCCCACTGATCCCACTCTTCTTAAATGCTGCATATTATTCTCATGCCTAGATCTTGAGATAGCCTTTGGCCAGCTTTCATACTAATAAACAATAAGTATGCTCCCCCCCAAAAGAGAATCGATTAGAAATTTAGTAATTGAAATCTACAGAGACACTGGGAGAACAAAAACATTAAAAATTGTGCAAATTGAGAATTTGAGATAAGAAACGGAATTTTGCCTAAGTTGTGATAATGGGAATGATAAATCTAGGGTGAATGTGGCAAGTCTTTACCTTGGGGAAGCTAGTTCTCCAACAGAACAAAGCTGTGAGCAGTGTTGTGAGGTGAAGGTTCCCTAATTCTGGATCTTCATAAAGAAGCAGAGAGAGGATGATCCCTGTCCAGCCTTGATCTTAGGTAACGTTGATCCTGATCATCAGCTTCTGGGTTGTGTTTTGTTTGGAAGAATAGAGCTGTTCAGAATCAGGGAACTTTTTTTATGGAGTGAGACACTGAGGTGAAAATCTTTTCACAGTAGATATTAATCCTTAGTTTTTCAGTCTCCAAGTATCCAGTAATAGACATTGGCAATGATTCATCTATTGAATTACAATAGACAGATATGAATAGATAAATTAATTAATTAACTAATAGCTTTGGGGAAGTTTATAATCCTCTTGTATATTTAGGTGGAATTATTCATACTTATTCTCTTATGAAAATATTTTATCAGTGGTAGTTAGATTTGTTGAATTGTAATTATGAATAAGTAAAAATTACAGAATATTGAATATAGAGCCTAGGTTTCTTGAGTTTTAGTAGGGTTCATATTTGTTTAAATTGTGTAGACACTCTTGGCTCGGTAGTTATATTTCTGGAGAAAAACAAGAAAAACAAAACAAAGAACTAGCATACCCAGAGAACTTAAGCCTGGCTGGATGTTTTCCATCTTTTTATTATTTATTTATATTTATCTCATGTGCATTGGTGCTTTGCCTGAATGTCCATATGCGTGGGGGTGTCAGATTACCTGAAACTGGACTTACAGAAGTTGTGAGCCATCATGTTGGGGCTGGGAATTGAACCCAGGCCCTGTGGAAGAACAGCCAGTGCTCTTAACCACTAAGCCATCTTTCCAGCCCCTGAGAGTTAGATTTTTTAAAAAATATTAATGAGATTGATTATAAAAGATTTAGTTAAATATTGGACATTATACAGGAATCACATTGCAAAACTAAGGGAGATTTTAGAAATTGGATATATATATATAATAAAAGCACTAATAAAATATACTCATATCAATTGCAATATTTACCCAACTTATACTCACTTTTTTACTAACTTTACACTATAGTCATCATAGTTTTAAATTATCCTGATTTGTAGAGAAAGCATGAAACTACTATTTTAAGGCCTACTAAAGGAGACAGATGGTTATAGTTTTTCTAACTGCCTAAATATCTTTGAACTCATTTAAAATAAACAAATTTTCAAGAAAATTAAACAGATTTCTCTTTTTAGGTCAGTCTTTAAACCTACAGAATAAGCTGCATATGAAAAATACCATTCATATTTATTGGTGATATCCTGTTGATTTTCTAAAACATTCATTTTGTTTATAATAAACTTTTCCTACGAAGAGGTTTAATTAGAATAAGCAATGCTGACTGTGCTCTCAGTATTTCATAAAACCCTGTGACGAGAGCTTCTTGGGTGATTCTAAGATATAAATTGAAGTAATTAAAGGTTCTTTTCTTTGTCTTTTCCTTTTAAGTTTTCTGCTGAAGTTCAGAGCAGCCATTTACACTGTCATGTTGGTGTCCTACATTCCTTAGGCTGTGGTTCCTGACGCTGCTCAGACCACACAGGGACCGACCTAGCCTGGATACACTCTCCCGTTTCATACCTCACAATGGAAAATAAAAGGCAAAAACTTTTATAATTCTTGCCGTGTGGAAGATGGGCAAGATCAAGAGCCTTTGAACTTCACTTTTAGGCAAGATCGACATCACTTCCTCTCCTATTGCTTCTTTAACAGACACTTTCAAAGAGAAGTAGTCCCGCATTTACGAAGAGCCACACTTTCTTCCTCACTGACTTCAGGCTAATATCGCGTGTTAGACTTCCAGGCTGCCTTTAATTTTAAAAAGCGAAGTCCAAAATATGTCAAATTGTCTGCCAGTAAAAGTTGTTTTTATCCCATAAAAGGTGACTTATATGGATTTGTATTCAATAATAGTAAAATTGCTCTAATATGCTGATATTAATATTTATCCTAATATTGGTTGGCTTCACACCCAAGGCCTTCTATATGTTTAGCAAATGAACTGTGATCAAGAGGTATCCACAATCTTGATAGCAGCTGTTTTAGAAAAATATTGATGAATAAACAATTCTGCTTATGTAGAGTTTATGAAGGATGTGATTTTTCACTGTCTGTAGACAATTTTTGTTTTGTGCTATTTTAATGGCATGACCTTGAATGTTAAACGTGAGCATTCACTTTTCTCATGTGTTTGCTCTGAATGAGAATAGTTTGGGGTGAAATGCCAGCTGAAGAATCGTAAGTGCCACCATTTCTGCTCTTAACATTTACACTGTGTAATCCTTTTGGCATGTTCATTACGCTCAGTTTCCATTTTAGTTGCTTGAAACTCACACATTCACTTTCATAATGAGAGAAAAAAAAAGTTTGCACATTTGACATGTCTTATTGCTTGCAGTTTAAACAATGACTTTCAAGTGCATATCAGACCGTGGTGGTGGCAATGTTTCCCTTAGGAGGTGGGAGAGATAAGTGGTAAAACATGCAGTCTTCCCTACAGATTATCTGGCTTTGAATCCTGAGAGTACTATTTGATGACAGTTATATGAACAGTTTTCTAAATGGGGGAGGTGGCAATTTCTGAAGGATATGAAATAACAGCTGGGAATGTAATCTCCTAGAATTACTCCCTATCGTCTATAAGACCTTGGATTCTAGCCCCAGCATTGCCAATAATCATTAGCTAAGTTACATATATAAATCATGTCATGGTTTGCAGGTAGTAAGCGCTATGTAAATTTTAGCAAAT